CAAGTGATGTGTTTTGGACAGGGTATCACTCTCAAACTTACAAGGCAAGATTCATACTCTTGCAAACTTCCAAGCCACATAATCTGAGGCAGGAAGCATTAACCTGAAGTACACAATCTTTATATTTGTGGGGAACAATGGGTGAGCCCCCCCCCCAAAAAAAACCAGAGATATCAACTCAGGAGGGCGTACGCAACAGCCCTCTTTTAGAATAATTCTCTGGTTATTTACTCAACCCATAAATATCCCTATAGGATCTTTTATGACACTCAAATCACTTTAAAAACTTAAGAAAACACACAGTATGTAGCCAGTTACAATTTTACGGGAAATAGTTTATTTATCTATAAACACAAAATAAAATCAGTTCTTTTTTTAAAAAAATGACAAAAAAGGTACTTAAATAAGAATGATCTGTGAGAGATGTTATGGCACCAAAAATTCAAGACAATTTATAAATTCAGGGGCCACAACCATTAAGTATGATCTGCTGAGGGATTTTTTTTAACCTTTTCTATAAAGATTTTTTTTATTAAAGATATTTACATATCATTAGGCTGTGTAAATATTTACAGGAACTTTGACAACAATTAAGCCAGTCCAAAAATCACTTTGTAAGAGAAAAAAATGCTTTAAATACAAAAAAGAAAGTGGAAAAAACTTCATTATTCCCCCCACCCTCCAATACATCCCCTTCAACCCTTTCTGCAAGCATAAGCTTGCACCCCAAATTTTCATCACTTAGGTGCTGGACAGCTGTTCGGCATGCATTCGCAAGAGTTCTGCAGTTTTACAAAATGGAGTCCATTATAAGATTTACGCGGGATTGTTTTGCCCATGAGAAGCGCTTTAAAGTTTTTGTTTATGTCATGTTGATATTTCACCCCTTTCTAAGTCCACTTCTCTTCCCAATATTTATAGGCTTTAATAATATTAATAGCAACACTTAAGTTTTTTTTTTTTTTAAACACAAGAGTTCCTCAACTGTTGAAGTTTGTTTTTGAGTTGTTCGTGTCGCTTCCTCAGATGTTCCTTTTCCGCTAAGAGTCTGTGCTCTTCGGACTGGATGGAGAGGACATATTCGGTGGCCTTTTTAAGGATGACAACTTTAGGGGCTTTTTCGTTATTCGCTACTTCAGGGATCTGGTCACGCAGCGCAAAGAAACTCAGTTTCAGCTCATTCCGCCTCTGTCGCTCCAGGACGTTGTGCGTTCGCCTTTTGTCGTTTTCCTCAGAGTCTGAGGTGCGGGGACTCGAACATTTGCGGTTGTTACTGATCTGTTTCAGAACGCGGCCATTGTCCAACTTTAGCCTTTTGGTGGAGCTGTATTCGTGGCGTGTGGAAGGAGGGGCGGCATAATTGTGTTGGTGGATTGGGACGTGACAGCGTTTGAGAACCAGAGGGCTATGAGGGGGCTTACTGTGCCCCCCAGATGTGTGGACAGTGGACTCGGATTTCTTGGCTGAAGGTTGCCTTTTTTCTACAGTAACCACATCAATCTCTTCTTCCTCCTCTTGTTCTTCTTCCTCTTCCTCTTCTGGAAAACACAAAAATCAAGATAAGAGAGATTAGATTATTTATTTTTTTATTTTCCTCCCAGAAAAAATGGGGACATTGGGATTAGCCTCCTCTTAATCTGTCTACCTTGGCCAAATGGGAAACGGGTGCCAGGAACTGTAGATTTCTGAAAATAGACTTCTCTCCAAAAGGGGCAGAACTTAAAAAAGAAGTTTATTATGCAATTGAGGACGCAACTCCACACATCTCCACCAAGATGACAATTCCAAAGAACTATTAACTGAATCCTGGCCATCTTGCAGATGTTGAAATTGCAGAATTGCATAACTGTGAAGCAATCTCAGCCAAGAAAGGCAAATTTCTAGGCTACTTTAACAGGGATGACATCTATCTCCAGGGGCCATCCTTACCCACCATATGCCAGCTTCCCCCCCCTCCAATCGCTGGTGAAGACAACTAGTCACATTTTGAAGGTGGCAAGACTACAGTTCCCACGATCCCTCACGTCCAGGCTGCTTAGGAGCAAACGCTCAATATTTGGGCCTAAGACTATCCTATGTTGTCCACCCACACCCCCAGGCTCCCAAGTATTGCAATGTAAGAAGAGACAGAGTGTGGTGACAAAGTGGGGGTCCTTGGAACCACACCCAGTTCTTTGTAAAAGTTTTGATGGCCAGGAGCAATTCCTATTTATCCTATCCTGAGAATTATGCAACCCTATTATCCAGGCATGCACAAAGCAGCCTGAAAAAGAGGGTGCCCTCCCCCCAATATTTCTCCAAGGCTCATTCCCTTTTCTCTTCTTCTCACCACCTATATGTCAATCAGAAGACAAGCCCAGCCGGGTGGGTTTAAAGTTCCCGCTCTGCAGAAGATCCGGGGTGACCCCATTAGACCCAACTGAAAAAGCAGCTTGGCTGTGATCTGCCTGAGGGGCCAGTTTTTCTAGGAAATGCAATTCCTGGGAAGCCCAGCCCATGCGTGTCGCTAACGTGGCAAGCGTAATAGGAGTACACACATATGCTGGGAGGGGAACTGCTGCGCAATTGAAGTATTTGGGGCAGGGGAGAAAGAGCAGCCTGCGGTTCTCAAATGTTCAGCCCAGCCAACATGTGATGTAAGGAAAGGCAGGACATTCCATTTGGCTTTCGTTATCTCAGAGGCTACGCAAGTGAAAACTTTCTAGAGCTAAGTCGAATGTTTGAGCTTTCTCTCCCTTGAAGGGGAAAAGGTATTCAAACATTCAACTGTTCCCCCCCCCCCACAAAAAAAAAAAAAGGGGGGGGGGGGAAAGAGGGATAGGCAAGCTCCTAATCCCTGCCTGAAACTTCCTTTTTTTTTGGAGGTGACAGTGTTAGGAGAACCACCAAGTGAAAACAGAAGCAACTTTTTAAAGTCTTGGTAAGTTCACAGGAACAGCCTTGGCACAATCCCACCACTCCCTTCGCAACCCTCACTGAGCCTTATCTGTACAATGGGCATATTCCATTCATTCCATCTGGAAAAGGGGAAGAGGATGAAACTGGGGTGAATCACTGTTGAACAAGCCACTTCCAAGCTGCTTCAGGCGACTGTGAAAGGCAAGTAAGCCAGGTCACCTGAAAATAGGGCCAGGTGGAAGCTGTTCAAGGCAATTTTGGCCTCAGTTTAAAAAAAAGAAAGCCCTCCCCCCTCCCTCTCCCCCAAATATCTCAGTTGATCAGCTAAGAAAGCTTGCTCAGATGTGCCACTTAAGGTTTCCCCATAGGCTTTTCAGCTTGGGCTTGAGAAAGCTATTGTGCACACAACGCTTTGCATTTTGGTAGTTGCTGGAACAGTACCTCATAAATTAACCTTCACTACGCAGTATCATAATACTAAGTTTAGTATTTCCAGTTTGACAACTTTCTAACCTCAACCTACAAGTCCATGCTTTGCAAATGCCCAGGGGCCTGTTCTACGCACCACTGGGACTGCTCCCTTCACCCAAATCCTACCCCCTTCTAGAGTGGGCACCCCTCCTTTCCCCACCCATCCCAAGTAAGGGGGAAAGAGACCCTAAAACAGAAGCCCACTGCTCACCTGAATCACTGCTGGTGGTTGGGGGCGTATCTTGGCTGAGCAAGGAAGCTGGGCACGGGTCAGGCGAGGCAGCAGCTTCTACAGCTTTGGGGGTCTTCTCCCCTAACGGGTAAGGGAAGACCACGGAGGGGTCGATGCATTCGGCCGCAGAGGCTCCCAGGTCTTGCAGGTACGAGGAGCTGCTGCTGCTGCTAGAAGAGGCAGAGCTCTGCGAGGGGGACAACGGGGGGAGGCCACTGATGCTGCCGTTCCCACTGCGGAGGGACAGCGGGGTCCCTGCCCCGTCCCGGCGTGCTGCCTGGTAGGACGCCAGTTTTTCGGAGACCACCTTCTGGAGTTTGGCGGCTGCCGAGCCGCCGCTCCACATGCAGTCCTGGATGATGATGGACTTGACGAAAGCGTCATCGTCGGGATCGCAGATAAAACTCTGGTTGACCACTTCGCTGCCCAGGAGCTCCGTCACCATCTCCAGGTGGTCAACGTTGGAAGGGAAGCTGCTGGATCGGCGGCTGGGCGAGAGGGGCGGCGTGGGCAGCAGCTCAAATTTCTTCCAGATGTCTTCGGATGGGGCGGGAGGCTGGAGCTCACAGCCCCGGTGATGGCCAGAGAGGTAGAAGTTCTCCTCCTCATCTTCGTAGTAGAAATAGGGCTGGATGGAGTCGTAGTCGTAATCGTACGCCCGGCTGGGATAGCTCGGGACTGTTAGGGGCATGGCTCTTGGAGGGTGCCTGGCAAGAGGGGGAGAGAGTAAAAGGGGGGGGGGGGGAGATGGTTAATGGGGCAAGCCGCTAAATAGAGCGCCCGTCACAAAAAATCAAACCTCCCGCGCGGGAGACAAAAAGTAGGGCAGCAACTACTCCGGAATTACTATCTCGCTTGGACAAGACAAAACACTCCAGCGGAGAAGGTGGGAACGCGCCTTCCAACCCACTTCTTCCCAAAGTATTTGGGAGCAATTCGGCTTCACCCAAAGCCAGAGGAAGGGCGTCCGACTTGCGAGGGGTCGGAGCGCAGCGGCATTGGATCGGAGCGCCAAGAGCGCCCAGCCTTCTTTCCCCACACACACACACACCCGCGGCCAGGTGAGCGATCCCGGTCCGTGGAGGCGCGGAACAGCCGTCCCACAAGCGCGGCTCCTTTTACCGGGCGGCTTCGGCTACACAACCGCCTCCTCCTCCTCCTCCTCCTCCCCGAAGAGGCGCCACCCAGCGAGAATCAGGCTCAACTCCGGCTTCGTGCCCCCAGCGCTCCCGGGCGCCACCTTAAAAAAAAGAAAAAGCAAACACAGCCAGGCGGGGCAGCTTTCCAGCACCGCCTGTCCGGGATTTACTCCCGGCTCCCGCCGCCCCAGCGGTGGGTTCGCGCTCTTGAGCCGGCCCCGCTGTTGAACTTTCGTGGCGCTCCGGTCCCGGGGAAACCTCCCCCCCCCCCTCCCCCCTTTCCCCTCCCCCCTCCCCCCGGCCCCCTCCCCCCCCCCCACCCCCCCCGGCAACCTCGCACAAGAGCATTTCGCACAACGCCCGTTCTTCCCCTTGCAACGGATCCGCCACCACCCCTCCCCCTTTTTGCCCACCTTCGCCGGCCGCAGGGCAAGCGCCCCCCCTCCCAAAAAAAAGCAAGAGTCCAAGCGAGGGAAGCCGGCACCGGAGTGCAAAGTTGGGCTTGCGAAAGTCTTCCAAGCAGCGCCCCGGAGGAGGGTTTTGCAACAATCCCGGGCTTTCTTTCTTTCTTTTTTTGCTCGGCTCCTTCCCGCCGCCTTTTCGGGAAAGGGGCTCCGAAAGGCGGAGTTCTTCCAAGAGGAGATTCGCCCGGCCGGATCGATTCAACCACCACCTTCCCACACACACACACCCCGCGCGCTGTTTTCTTTCTTTCTTATTTTGGGGTGTCCCGAAATCGGAGCGAGCGAAGGCAAAGCAAAAAAAAAAAAAAGCCACCCAAAACGCCGGCCTGGCTATAAGACGCTTTCCAAAACTTACCGGTGGTTCTTTTGTTTTCAGATCCCGGCCCAAAAGACTAGAGCTGGAAAGTCCAAAACCGGTGCAAAATAATAATACGGAAATCCCAAATCTTTGCAAAAAAAAAGACCACCCCGCCGAGGGGGGTGGCGGCGGCGGCGAAAGGCAAAGCGCGCAGTTGCACCGTCTGTTCCTTCGGCGTCTCTTTAAACGGTACTCGCAGAAGAAGGAGCGACGAGATTGTAAGTCCACAGCACGGGCGGCGGCGGCGGCGTCTCCAGCTCCGAATTCCCAGGCTGGAGAGTCAAAGCCTATTTTTTTTTTTCGGCGCCCCCTTTTTCAAAAGCGCCGGCTCGGGAAGGGAAGCCAAGGGGCGGGGGGAGCGGGGCTGCTTCGTGTTGTGTGCACGCGCGGATCCCCTTACTACTACGCTCGTATTTATGATGCCCCGGCAATAGCAGCAATAATAGCAAATAGCAGCAGCAGCAGCGCCTCCTTCCAGCACGGTGGAAGCTCCGATTCCCTCCCACCCGTGCCGCCTCTGAGCTGCAGGACTCCGCCGCTTGCTTTATAAACCCTTGGCCGCTGCTCCGCCTTCCCCTTTTCCCGCCAACCGGGCCCCCCACTCTCCTCTCCCCTCCCTCGACCCCTCCCCTCTTCATTCCCCTTTGCAGAAACAGCTTGGAGAGTGAGAAGCTTGCTGGAGCAAAGCGAGGCGGGCGAGAGTGTTCGGGCAGAAAAAAAAAGGGGGAATAATAATAATAATAATAAATAAAAATAAAATCACCACGCATATACACACACACACAGACACACACGCTTGCGCAGGGAAAGCTGGCTCCCCTTCCCTCTATGTCTATCTCAATTCTTTCCAAAAACCCCCCTCCAAAAAAAAGGGGGCGATCTTGCAAAAAGGGGAGGGGGGCTTTTCGAAGGGGCGCTGCCGCAGCAAGAGAGAGAGAGAGAAGGACGGTTGGTTGGTTCCGGAGCTCCGGTCCTGCATTGCGATCCCCGGGGAGCTGCGCTCGCGTACCCACTGGGGAGGAGGGGAGAGACCGGGGGGAAGTCTAAACCGAGCATTAAAAAAAATAAAGACACGCGAGTTCGTGGAGATGCATCGAGCGTGGACACGGGGGGGGGGGGGGGGGGGGTCGCGGCGCCGGCGGGGGCGCCCCTCCTCTCTCGCCCGCTCCTGGTTTGCAAACGGAACGCGGGAAGGTGCGCCTTTGCTCGGCCAAGCAGGGTAAATTCGGCCGTATTTCTTTCCAATTTCTTTTCAGATCAGAGGAAAGTCGAGCAAAAGAGTGGGGAGTCGACCCCTGTTCTCTCCCCCCCCCGATCCACCCAATGTGGGGATGGCGGTGGAGGGCGATTTGGGGGGGGAGGAATTGCATTGCATTCCCCCCACCCCACGTTTTGCAATTCTGAGCCGACACGCACCAAGTCGGCTTTTTAAAGCTGCCGCGCTGGGTTTCTCTTTATCTGCGGAGGGCAAGCTCCATTTTTTAATCAATGGGTGTAACTACGGAATGGGGCAAAAACAAAACAAAAAAGGTGCAAAAAAGCCGGAATCGGGGTGCGAAAGGAAGCGAGGGGCACGAAGCCGAGCTCTGCGGGGTTATATTTTTTTGTGCGTGTGGGGGGAAATGCGGAGGAAACGAGGTTCCCACGACCTCCGCGCACTTTATCCAAGTGCTGGAGGATGGGTGGGTGGGTGGGGAGTCGAAAAACACGCATTTCCCCGAGGGGTGGGTGGGTTTGTCCTGCATTCGGGAGGAAAAGTTCGGTGCCGTTGACTCTGCGAAGTAACCTGGCGAGTCAAAAGAGCGAGACGGACCCCGAGTTAAAGTTTGCCCGAGCACCTGTGCTCGTGGGAACAAGCAACCAACCAGTGTCGTCCTTAAGGACCAAACGGTTCCGGGACGAAATTAAAAAGAAAGAAAAAACTTAAAAGCGTCCTCTCGGATCTGGAGAAGCTGCCTTGGCCCCGGGGCTCTTGAGAAAGGCGACGCAAAGAAAAGAGCTTTGGAGGTTAGCGAGTTCAAAGTTTAATTACAGACGCAATTCCTTCAATGTTTATGCGGGACGGGAAGGGGCAGGGAAGAGAGAGGGATCGGAGAGGGGATAATCCGCGCTACTTCCTCCCCTTCTCTTTAGAGGCGAAGGAATTAAAGTTGTCGGTCCCGGGGAAGTCAGCGCTAACTTAAGGTCGCTGGGGAAGGGAGCAAAAAAAAAAAGCAAAAAAGCACCGGCTTTGCAAAATCCTTAGTATCAAAAGCCGCGAAGGGCTTGGTTTCACACGATTGCCTTATAAACAGGGGTCACGACCATTGGTGCATTTTTTTTAACATCACGCCGCCTACTACACCCGTTTAACGGGAAAGGGGGGCGAAGAAGAAAACATACTCCACCTCCAACATTTTTTTGGGGGGGGGGGGAGCCTAAATTCCTACATTGTGTGAATGCGGCACACACCCACCCACCCACCCGACCTGTGCAAAAAAGCCGCCTTCGCATCCCCCCCCCCCCCCCAAAAAGGAGGAACAACCTATAAATCGACTTCGTCTTCCAACCGAAGAGGCATTTAAAACACCGGAGCCAGAGTTGTGCCTGTCAAAAAAATCGACCCGACACGCTCGAAGAAGGATCTTTGCAAGGCGACTGGAGGAAGTCCAAACTCACCCCCCCCCAAAAAAGGCATCGCCTCCTTCCAATGGGTTTTAATCTAGTCAATTATCCTGGAAATACTCCCTGGGCCACCCCTGCCTCCCCTCCAGACCCCCAGGAGGGAAGCGAGCCCCTCTGCTGGTTAGATTTGCAACTTCGGAGTGGGTTTTAAAGCGCTTTGCAAAAAAGAAAAAGGCGATCGCGACCCCGTGACCGGGCCACAGGGGGCTTCGCCTTGCGATGGCACCGCCGACCTATCTTACAGCCTATCTTACAACCTTGCCCTTCTGCAGCGGTGCTCTCCCACCCGGCTTTTCCCTTCCCAGCTGACCGCGGGGCGTGTTATTATCAACTGTTGTTCCTTTGTGCGAAGTGTTACAATCGCTTTCACACAGAGGGGTGGGGTTTGCACGGGAGGCCGATTAAGCTAGGCGGGAGGAGGAGGAAGCTTTTACCTTGGGCAGCCCCATTAACTGCTGTGCGGTTTACCCCCCCAATCCAACGGACGCGTTCCCGGCTTTGATGCGCGCCGGGAAGCCCGGACGGCCTTTTTCCACTCCCCGCAAAGAAACAAACCCCGCGTGTGCATTTCCCCCCCTTTTTATGCGTGGGTGCCTTCCTTTCCCTGCCGAGAGCTTTGGGTGGAAAAGCAACCGGGGTGAGGTGGGTGGGTGTGGAAGGGAGTTCCTTGCAGTGGATTCCCATAGGATTCCCCCCCCCCCTTTGCGGCGGCGGGGGGGGGGGGGGGAAGCAAGCTGCGGGTCGGCAACCCACGCCCTTTGGTAGAAAGAGCCGCAGCGTTGAAGATTTGCGCAGGCTGCGCGGAGAGCTCGCCGGCGAAAATGAAGTCATCGCGCCCTCTAGTGGCGGGCCGCGCGGGACGGGCGAAAGCGAAGCGAGGGGTGTGGCGGCTCAGCGGCTGTCTGGACGTTGAGATACGACGGGGGGGGGGTGTCTTCCAGCCGCTCGGAAATCCCCCCCCCCCTTTTTTAAGGGGACATGGCAGTTTTCCGGCCAGCCTCTTCTGCGACCGCTTCTGAAAACTCGTGGGGGGTTTATTTATTTATTATTATTATTTTGGCAAACCTTTGGGTCCCAGCATCTCCCATCCTTGCAGAAACTTTCCTAGGAGGAAAAATATATGGATGTGCAAAAAAAAAAAACCCTCGAGCTTCTGTTGTTTTTTTTCCCCAGCGCATTTTGACTTAATTTAATCCTTGAAGGGCTTCTCTTGTTGGTGCTAATTCCCTTTGAGACGATTCATCATTTTGATGGGGAAAGGATTTGGGGGCAAAAATGCTGTTTTGTGAATTTGCGCTAGCAAATATGCCTGCTTGTGCCAAAGGTCTGGAAGCATGCAGAGTGCCACCGAAATGGCAACATTTTGCTGAAAAAAACACACACACACACACACACACAAACGAGAGACTCCTTTCTTGCCTCTACGGCACTTATAACACTGTGTTGTGCTATTCTTCTAGTTGTGCAGCCCACCTCCTACGTTCCTTGGACTTAACGTTCTTTCGACTTATGACTGTAATGGAGGCTTCCCAGCATTGGTTTTGAGTCCTGAGAGGCTGCAAAATAGTGATTGACCTGATTTTATGACCAGGTGTGCTGGGGTCGTTAAGCAAGGCTCTGGTTTGCTGCTGGCTTGGCTGAAAAGAGGGTCAGGTTTCCAAGCGCACAAAGCTTCTTGGTCAGATGACCGGAGGGGGGGGGGGCACTCAACCCTCAGAGCATGTGATAGGTTGTAAGTAGCAGAACAGAAACAGAAAAACAGAATCAAAAGGGACTTAGACATCTTCTAGTCCAACCCCTTGCTCATGCAGGTGACCCTATACCAATGATGGCTAACCATTTTGTCGTTGCATGCCAAAAGTGCCTGCACCCATAATGCAATGGACGCGCAACCCTCTTGGGCTTGCCCTGCCCCCACCATGTATGCACTCCCCCCTGACCCCCTGCGCATGCAACACCCATGCTACCCCTGTCCCCTGCGCATGCAACCCCTCCATGCTCCCGCCGCGTGTGCGTGTGAGACCCACCCCTGTGCCCCATTTTGGGCCTAGTAGACCTCCCTGCAGCCTGGGAGCAAAAACAGGAAGTGGGGGGGCTGCATCATCCCCCCCGCCCCATTTTGGGCCTAGTAGGCCTCCCTGCAGCCTCCTGGGGAGCAAGAACGGGGCACAGGGCCAGTACAGTCCCCTGCCATGCCCTGTTTTTGGTCCCAGGAAGCTGCAGGGAGGCCTACTAGGCCCAAAACGGGGAGCATGGGAGGGCTGCGCCACCCCCTGCACTCTCTGCTCTCCCCACCCCTGCGCATACACACGTGTCTCCCACATGGGCCCTGGCCTCCCCCACATGCAGGGCAGAGACCTGAAAAATTAGCTGGCTGGCAGGAGGTGCATGTGCAATGGAGCTGAGCTGGGGCAACGGCTCGCGTGCCCGCAGAGAGGCCTCTGCCTCCACCTGTGGCATGCGTGCCATAGGTTTGCCATCACGGCCCTATACCATTCCAGACAAATGGCTGTCTAGTCTCTTCTTAAAAACCTCCAGTGTTAGATCACCTACAACTTCCGCAGGCAAAATGTTCCACTGGTTAATTCTTCTCACCGTGAGGAAATATTTCTCCTTCACTCTAGGTTGCTTCTCTCCTTGCTTAGTTTCCACCCGTTGCTTCTCGTCCTGCCTTCTAGCTCCATTGTAATTTTGAAGAGTCACTAAGTGAGTGGTTTTAAGTCCGTTCTCCTGTGCCGGGCAACCAAAGAAGACTCATCCGATCAGCTGGGACTCGGGAGGCAGAGAATAGATGGGGTTGGCGGGGCCAGTTCCCCGAACTACTCAAAATGTCCGCTACCGGTTCTCCATAACTGGTCAGAACCTGCTGAATACTACCTCTGA